GGCCCACAAAAAAAATCTATAAATGATGTTAAATGCTAATATCAAAAACGTAGATGCGAATGTCAAACCCTTAAAAAATAGCTCAGGCATACAACATTAATAAGAAAACGGATGGTAATATATATACCTACTTTCTTTATAGGTACATTCCTTTTTTTTAGAAAAAATAATTAAATTTTAAAATATTTTTAGTTTTTTAATTTTACACTCTTAACATTTAATTTAACAATTTTTTACATACCTCTTTTCCTTGTTTTTATATGTAGTCACTTAAATGTAATTCTGGATCATGTTTCTATATATATAGTAATTCTATATAGTAAATAGTGAGGATAACTTATAGATAGTAATTTACTAGCACTTCTATATTATTGTTGAGGATGTCGATCCAATCTTTAAGTGATGTTAAATGCTAATAGCAAAAACGTAGATGCAAATAGCAAACTCTTGAAAAATAGCCCAGGCCCACAAAATTTTTTTTTATAAGTGGTTAAATGTTAATAGTAAAAACGTAGATACGAATGACAAACCTCTGAAAAACAGTTCAGACCTACATCATTAATAAGGAGACGAATGATAATATATATACCTTATTTTTTTATAGGTACACTCCTTTTTAAAAAAATTTTTTAAAATATTTTTTATTTTTTATTTTTACATTCTTAACATTTAATTTAACACTTTTTTACATAACTCTTTCCCTTGTTTTTATATGTACTCCCTTAACAGTAATTTTGGATCATGTGTCAATATATATAGTAATTCTGGATAGTAAATAGTGAGGATATTTTATAGATAGTAATTTACTAGCACTTCTATATTATTATTTAGGATGTCGATTCAATTTTAAGTGATGTTAAATGCTAATAGTAAAAACGTAGATACGAATAGCAAATCCTTGAAAAATAGCTCAGGCGCACACAAAAAACCTGTAAGTGATGTTAAATGCTAATAGTAAAAACGTAGATGCGAATAGCAAACCCTTAAAAAATAGCCCAGGCCTACAACATTAATAAGGAGGCAGATGGTGATATATATACCTTCTTTTTTTATAGGTACACTTCTTTTTAAAAAAAATAATTAAATTTTTAAAATATTTTTTATTTTTTATTTTTACATTCTTAACATTTAATTTAACACTTTTTTACATAACTTTTTTCCTTGTTTTTATATGTACTCCCTTAAATGTAATTCTGGATCATGTGTCAATATATATAGTAATTAGTGAGAATAAGTTATAGACAGTAATTTACTTGCACTTCTTTATTATTATTTAGGATGTCTGTCCAATCTGTAAGTAATGTTAAATGTTAATAGTAAAAACGTAGATGCAAATAGCAAAATCCTTGAAAAATTGTGCAGGCCTACAACATTAATAAGGAGAGAGATGATGATATATATTACCTTCTTTTTTATAGGTACACTTATTTTTTTTAAAAAATAATTAAAATATTTTTAATTTTTTAATTTTACACTATTAACATTTAAATTACACTTTTTTACATACCTCTTTCCCTTATTTTTATATGTACTCCCTTAACAGTAATTCTTTATCATGTGTCAAAATATATAGTAATTCTAGATAGTAAATAGTTAGGATAACTTATAGATAGTAATTTACTAGCACTTCTATATTATTATTTAGGATGTCGGTCCAATCTGTAAGTGGTGTTAAATGCTAATAGCAAAAACGTGTATGCGAATAACAAATCCTTCAAAAACAGCCCAGGCCCACAAAAAAAAATCTATAAGTGATGTTAAATGCTAATAGCAAAAACGTAGATGTGAATAGCAAACCCTTGAAAAACTGTCCAGGCCTACAACATTAATAAGGAGACAGATGATGATCTATATACCTTCTTTTTTTTATAGGTACATTCCTTTTTAAAAAAATAATTGAATTTTTAAAATATTTTTAATTTTTTAATTTTACACTCTTAACATTTAATTTAACATGTTTTTACATATCTTTTTCCCTTGTTTTTATATTGACTCTCTTAACAGTAATTCTGGATCATGTGTCAATATATATAGTAATTCTAGATAGTAAATAGTGAGAATAACTTATAGATAGTAATTTACTAGCACTTCTATATTATTATTTTGGATGTCTGTCCAATCTATAAGTGATGTTAGATGCTAATAGCAAAAACATAGATGCGAATAGCAAACCCTTGAAAAACAGTCTAGGTCCAAAAAAAAAATCTGTAAGTGATGTTAAATGCTAATAGCAAAAACGTAGATGTGAATAGCAATCCATTAAAAAACAACCCATGCCTACAACTTTAATAAGGAGATGGATGATGATATATATACCTTCTTTTTTTATAGGTACACTCCTTTTTTCTAAAAAAATAATTAAAATTTTAAAATATTTTTAATTTTTTAATTTTACACTCTTAACATTTAATTTAACACTTTTTTACATACCTCTTTCGCTTGTTTTTATATGTACTCCCTTAACAGTAATTCTGGATCATGTGTAATATATATAGTAATTCTAGATAGTAAATAGTGAGGATAACTTATAGATAATAATTTACTAGTGCTTCTATATTATTATTTAGGATGTCGGTCAAATATGTAAGTGATGTTAAATGCTAATAGAAAAAATGTAGATGTGAATAGCAAACCCTTGAAAAATAGCCCGGGCCCACAAAAAAAATCTGTAAGTGATGTTAAATCCTAATAGCAAAAACTTAAATGCGAATGGCAAACTCTTGAAAAACAGTCCAGGCCTACAACATTAATAAAGAGACGAATGATGATATATATACCTTCTTTTTTTTTATATTTATATTGATATTTGCTCATTTAAGTTCTTACAATCTAATTTAATAGTTTAAATATTAATTTAATTTGTTCCTTAACGTACTATCATTAACTAATATAATTATTTTATATAGTATATATTCGCCCATATTAGTTATTGAAATGTTAATTATAATATATAAAATTAAAACATAATAACTCTATAGCAAAGTTGTTCTTAAAAAAAAATTGTAGAGTAAAGCTATACTCAATACAAACTCAATTTATTCAAATTTTCTCCTTAAGTTATCTAATACGATAGTTTAACAATCTAATCTATGTTAGAATTATTACTTACACTAATATGGAATAAAACTTTTATTAACATAGTTTTAGATATATGAATTGATCGTGGAATTGTACGATTTGAATACCAGTTTTAATTAACTACCATGCTCTGATCAATGGCACGTATATGTACATGTGATTCTACTGAGGATGCAATCAGGGACGGAGCCAGGATTTCAATACTGGGGGTGCCATATAGGGGGTGCCATATAGTAATATACATATGAGTTTATATTAAAAATATGAGTTTATATTAAAAATAGGGGGTGCCATATAGTAATATATATGTATATAAAAAAAAATTAAAATTGTTGGGGGGGCCGTGGCACCCGTAGGTCCCCCCTTGGCTCCGTCCTTGGATGCAATATTAACCATCTTCATCATATTGACTTAAGGCTATATTTAAGAGCATAATTTAATTAAGTTATGCTTAAGTTATACCTTTGATTACAAAAATTACTAACATAAATTTAAAAGGTCAAACTTTTAAAGAGTTAAATAAAATAACTTGAAAAACTTATTTAAATCATAAATTATTTTCATTAGTCTAAATATATATATATATTTTTAAATATCCCCAATTCAATTTTTCTGTTTTCATTTGGTCCAAAAGTATCCTCTAATAAAAAAAACACGTGCCCCATTTAATATTTTTGAATTTTATTTGACGTTTTAAAGGTCACGTAACTTTTGTGCTGAAAATTCAATTCTCTCTTGCCGTAAATCATGATTTATGTAGTTTATTAGAAGAAATTATGGTAGCCCACCAACAAGGACATGGACTCATACCAAGTGTTCTACTTATTTTGGCATTTTGCTATGGTGAATTCAATTATGCAGCAGTAACAAGCAATGCCGTAACTGAGCCACAACAACATTACAGCCATAGAAAGGTTTTAGTTTTTAGACCTTGCTACTTGCTATAAATAGAAGAAAACAAAATTAATTATTTATGTGTCTCATGAAGACAATATGATGCATGTGAGATCACGTGCTTTCGATCTTTCGGTTCCACCATGCGCGCTTATGGACACAAATATTGAAAATTAAAATCACCCTATCGACTTTTCATTTGTTCGATGTTAGATCTCGTTGACCACTCCAGGGACACGTGTCTAAATCTCAACAAAGGTCCAAATTCCACTAGATGGTGGGTTCCCAGAGAATCAACCTCCTACTTCCCCTTGTAACAAACGTTGAAACAATGTCAATTCTTTTTAGGGAACAAATTAATGTAACTTCTACATAATGCGATATTACTATAAATGTTAAAACACTATCCAAAAAAAAATTGTTCATTTTAAAAGAGTATCTCTAGATATACTTAAAGATAATCTCTTTCGAAGATTTTATAAACACTAAATAAATAAGCATATTTTCTGAAATTTCGAATCCTAACTATTTAATTAAGCACTAAATAGATAAACATTCATGTCAATCTAAATTGGACTCTATCAAAACATCTAACATAATTACATATTTAAAATCAAAATTAAAAATTATTAGTTAGATTGAAATTAGCATTGCACTAGTTGATTTACTGTGAGATATTTATAAAACTAGTGCAACCAAAATAAGTTTATTATGTGAGGCTTTTTTGGTGATTTTCAATTTTATTTTAATAATTAAATATTTTTTTTTATATTTTATATTTATTAATTAACTTATCAGTTATTTTTATCAAACATTTTTTAATTCAATCAGTTAATTTAAAAGTTTTCAATTTTAAGTTTCTAACTTATAAATCTGGATTAACCTATAACCTAGTTCTATAAAACACATTAACTAAACAAAATACAGTTGATTATGGTTTAAGGCGTTTAGGTGTGATGTTTGGCGCGTTAGGGAGAAAGAGTCTAAAGCTTTATATGCGCGTAAAGTTCCAAACATTTGTAGTCGTCACTGATTTTATGTAGACAATTACGGTCAAAAACGTTGCACCTTCCATGCCTTTCTCTATTAAGCCTTCATTTTTCTTGTGAATTGCCTTTGTACGTACATGCTTCTTATTGCCTTCCACACAACATTATAAAACATAGTTAAGGAAATTAACATAGCTAGATGCAAAGATGGGTTTTCCAAAGGAGGAGAAATCGAAAAGGATATTGAGGGGTGTGAAGATTGTGTTCTTCTTGATCACCATGGTTATGTCATTTCTTCTATTCTCCGCTCCAATTCTCTTGGTTATTGCTGATGCAGTTGTTCCTTCTGCTATTCTCTCAGCCTCTTCCACCTCTTCTCTCTTGTCCCATTTTGAGAACTACGACTTTGGATGCTCTCTAATTGACATACCCCTAGTATCCATCATACGGTCCCTAGTCATATTTTGTAAGCATGTCAATTAATCAATTTTCAATTTTTAAGTGATTATTGAGTACCCTTTTATTCATATTCTGTAAGCACGTCAATTAATCAATTTTCAATTTTGAAGTGGTTATTGAGTACCCTTTTTGAATGGGATTTGTTTTGTGTAGGTGTTTATAGTTTTTGTGATGGGCCAAGGCTTTCACATGGGCCTTATTTGGGGGTTACCACGGTGTGCTCGGTGATGTCGCTAATGTTTGTTTGCTTGAAAGGTGTTTATGTGTTTGGGTACGAGAGAGGGACAAGGTACGATGAAATAGCTCTGTTTGTGTGGTCTTGTTGTTTGGCGGTGGGGCATGTCGTCGTTGCCTATAGAACAAGTTGCAAAGAAAGAAGGAAGCTTCTTGTTTACAAGATTGACATCGAAGCTGTAAGATTCTTCTTCACCCTTTATTTCCTAACTAGACAAAATATTGAACAACAAAAACATACTTGCTTGTTTTGTTTTAAAAGATATTAATTTTGATCTATTATTAATATAAAATATCATATGATAATATATAATTGGATAGCTGTGTAAATGTTTTAAGCTTTCAATGTATTTAATTAAATTCTTTTAAATAATGATTCGTGGATACTACAAATGTTGGTCTATATGAGAAAAATAAATTAAATAATGATAATATCATAGTAATAAAAATAAAATAAAATATTAAATAGGTATTGATATTATTGTGACATTGAACGTATCATAGATAGATTCTTTTATAAATAAATGGTCATTTTGATTTCTAAAAATAATAAATATAGCAACATTAGTCTTAAAACTAAGATATTAAATAAAACTTTAAAATATTAAACAAGTTTATAAATTTTATTACTTATTATCATTTTGATATATAAACATATATTAATATTATCACTTTTGTCACATATTTTTTTTTATTTTAGACTAATATAATTATTAAATTATGCTTTTAAAAATTATTAAATATTTTAAAATTTTAAGAACTAAAATATTAACGTCGCCTTAAATTTAAGATGAAAATCACCATTTTTCCATTCTTTTACATATCTTACCCTCCCATAAATCAGCTCTGATCAATCACCATCACTTCATACCTCAACTCTCTAGCTTTTTCTCCTTCAAATTCAACACTTTTCTTCTTGTTTTAATGGTACATGGCTAGTGGAAGGGCGAAAATTATCATTTCATACCTTGCACATGATATTTTTATTCGAAAATTTTGTATTTATTGTTTATTTATAGTTTACAAATTTTTACATTGACTTTAATTTGAACTTATATACAAAAATAAATAAATAACTCTTTTTTTAAAAATGTAATAAACTAAAAATGTCAGTACTACTTTCTATATTGACTGTTAAACAATTGATGTAGAAAATGATTGTAATCCTGTATATTATAAAGTGACAAATATTTTTAGAAAAAAATATTCTCAAAAGAGGAGTAATAACAATATTTAGGTCACTTTCTACATTGGTTTTTAGCACCCTATCTTTATGGTTTACAAATTTTTAGATTGATTTTAATTTGAACTGATATAAAAAATTCATTTTACAAAATAAAATATACAAAAATGCTAGTTTTACTTTCTACGTTGATTGTTAAACTATTGATACAGAAAACCGTTGTAGTACTATATATTAGAAAGTGACAAATATTTTGAAGCAAAAATATTTTAAAAGAAAAGTATTAACGATATATTTTTTGGCGCTCTTTCTCTAATACACTTCATATTGTTAGGTGAAAATTTATTAAATAAAAAGTGAAATTTACAAAATTTTATGATTTTTAATAAATTTTAGAAAATAAAAAAAAAATCCTTCTGTTTGTTTTTATTTGTCATATTTTTAATAAAACTTTATTTCTATTTATTTATCATTTTTAAGTTTTAAGAAAATATTAATTATTATATTACCAATTATATTTTTATTTTTCACTTAACTTTTAATTAATTTATATATGACAATTAATAACCATTTATTATAAAACAAAAATAAAAGAGGATATAATAAGAAATATTAAAATTATTATATAAAAAATAGAAAACTTATTACGTTTATTAATATGTATAAAAGAATCTTAAATGACTATTATAAAAGAAATAAAATAGTATATTTTATGAATGCATCAAAGATAATATTTTTTTTTTTCAAAAAAAAAACATATAGAATGCGATTAAATTAAGGATTAATTATATAGGAAAATTTAGATACAATTTATAAGATATAATTAGTATTATTTTTTAATTAAAACTAAAATTTTATCTTAATAACACGCATAAATATATATTATTGAGACTTATATTAAATATAATTATATAATATTAAAGTAAAATTTTAACTTTAACTAAAAAATAACATCAATTACACTTAAATTTTTTTTTATATATCATAAGTCCCTGTCTAATTCCTTTCACCCGAAAATCATGATATTTTTCGTGAAATAAAAGTCATACCTGCCTTGTTTTCAACGAAAACTCACAATGAGTACGAACACCTTTAATTGATGGTCACGACCAACCATATAATTATGTCTGTTTGATAAATATTTTTTGGATGTAATTTTAAGAAAAAATTAAAATATTTTTTTTAATAAATTAACTAACTTATACATAAATTAAAAATACAATTATGAAAAATTTAATAAAAAAACCTTTTACAAATTAATCTATAAAAATTGTTTTACTTTTTTTTTAATCTTTTAAGAATATTTTTTAAAAAAACTTATCCAAATAATTGTTATATGTATATCCATGCATGTTAACTTCGTTTGACATCAATTTTTTTTTTAGTAATGTTATATCTACAACAATTTGTATAATATTATTGTTGTGTTTATTTCTTTTCATTATTGATAATATCTCTTTATATAATGAATAAAATGATGAAGAGAGATAAATATAAAAGTAAAATTATATAAATTATATATTGTATAAGTTACTTTACTTCTAGCATTAATCATTTTTTTCTTTTACTTGGAGAACTTGTGCCTTAGGATGTTGTGATTGGAAACTTACATAATGAAGCCATACACAAATCAATTTTCAGCCTTCTTCAAATATGTTAAAATACGTTTTAAAAAAATTAGTTTCTATAATTTTATATACTTTAAGATTTTAGTTTTTAGATTTAAAAAATAATTTTTAATCTTTATACTTATTCTTTTAATTATTTTTAGTCTCTATAGTTTAAGATAAGTTTTTAATTTTAGCTTTTATATTTGTAATTTTTTTAATTATTATTGTTAATTTTTTTATAATATTATCTCTTTCATATTAACGTGATAGGGTGTTAATTTTATTATGTGTGTTTGATATCAAATTTATTTTATTAAAATTATTTTAAATTATATTTTTCTATTCTTCATGTCACCTTTTAACTTAATGTGCAGCACTCTTTTTTTTTTATCATCAGAATTAGAAGACTTCTATAACATCAATATAAATTAGATAATGTTATAATTTTTAAATAATATAAATTAAAAAATTTAAGAAATTATAATTATAAAGACTAAAAAATATATCTTAAATTACAAGAACTAAAAAGAATTGAAAAGATAAATATAAAAACTAAAAAATTTATTTTAAATTATAAAAACTAAAAGATAAAAGAAGTGAAAATATAAAAACTAAATAAGAATTTTAACTTTTACATATCACTACATGTTTATTATTTAAACAAAGAAAAAAGAGAAGAAAAAAAATGAAAACTTATTTTTTCACCATTTTTTTTTTCAATTTTTGCTTGTCTCTTCTTTTTTTTTTTTTATAAAAAAAATGTATTAGTAAACATCTCATTTTATTTTGCAAAGAAAAGTATTGTAAAATTAAGGTGGAAAATAATATACATATATTAGTCTTAAAAAGATCGCCATGATGTACATGCGTGCAGATTTCAGCCTGCAAGAATGGGTATCCTAGGTATCCGAAGATTCTTCAAGAAGAAAGAGTCAAATGAACCCACTCTATATTATATCAATCTAACAGATATTTTCTGCCATCAACTTCAGACAACTATTCATTTTTTCCTCATCGAACTTAGGTAATTTACTTTTTTAAGAAATAATTTAATTTAAATGCAATATTACTGTAATATGAGGAGGTTCACTGAAACTGCATCTCAATTAAACTTCTTTAAAAAGTACTATTTTTATTGTAAAATAAACAGCGATTTTTTCAACCGGAACCTGATGAGCGTTGTTATTCTTCTTTTTGATATATACAGGTTTGTCTAGTGCACATAATAACCCTGACTCTTAACACTGGATAGAGACAGTTTATCTTAAACCCACAAGGTTTCTTTAACTTGTTATGTATGGTATAGATGTATAGGTGTATATATACTATATAGAGCTATGTCTTTGGCGGCCACTATGTAACATCCATTTTCTTTGTTTATCAATTATCATTGTTTTTCTATTGTTTCTTTTCCCCGTATTTATTGAATATACTTCTTGTACAAATAAAAAGTGAATGAATCTTATTTTCTTCATTGGCTAAAGGCCTTATGAAATATGCACACGACTTCATTAAATTATAAGTGTTTAATAAAATTATTTATTGAAATTTTTGTAAATATAAAATAATAAAAATGAATAGGTTTATATGATATTTTGTATATATTTTATAAATTAAAATATTATAGAAACTTAACTGTTAGTTGGGCCTAAAAATATTGGAGGTCCATTACACGAGGCCCAAAATGCTTAATCCAACAGCTATAATCAATATGAATGCTTTCATTAAAAAGAAAATGAATATGAGTGGATCAAGCAAAAAGTTTTTCATATAAATTTAATTTGCATAAATTCAAAATATTCATGCTTTAAAACTCTCGGTTCTACACTGTTTTGTTGACGATTATGAACAATTTTTTCAGTGATTCAATGGCTGTCATTTGATTCGATTTTTAGTGAGTAACATAAAGAATGCTCAGAAGATATGGAAACTTTTGGCTAAGGTGTGTATAGAAAAATACCCCCCTTATATGGATGTCAGTAATTCGAAAGATTATTCCTTAACTTTTTCCTAAGATATATCTTGGTTTATCAAAAAAAAAAAAATGAAAACTCTGGACAAAGATTATTCAGTTACTAAATTTCCATAATTTGACGTTGAAGTTTAAATTTATGATCATACAAAGTACTTACAACCAACAGCACTCTCCTGGTTGCTTGGGTGTCCCTGATTTTAAGCAATTCTGCTTACTTGATTCTGTTAAAATGATTCCTAAGATACTCTGTCTCTGTATACATTCTTATTCTTTCCTTTCACTGTTTTACATCAGAATTCAGAAAAAGGCTTCCTTGTATAATGTTCAATTTGACTTCATACCTCATATTTTGTCAAATTAAACTTTATATCCATGACTAATCTTAATGTTTCATTCAGTGCGAGAGAACTAAACTGCTAAGGCCTTCTTTTATTACCCCTGCAAAAGAATTTCAGGTACAGCAATAGTAACAAAAATTCTTTGACATAGCCTACCATATCTTACTTTTAGGCCTCTAATTTGTTTCTAAGCATTCATTTGAAACTTCGGCAGATTCATATTCATTTCTAATGCAGAACTGAAAAACCGTTAATAGAAAATTTGCGACCTGGATTTTATAATGATTTATTATTATTTTTGGATCATTATGCTATAAGTTCGAACAATCATAAAGATTTGTTATGATATAGGTGAAAGGATTTGTAGGAATTAACTAAGATCATATACACGGTGGATTAATTAACTCAACTGTTTTATTAAGGGTGATGAGGGGTTTGATCTTTCACATCCTCATTTCCCATCCCCCTCTAACACTATGACATTACTTCCTATAACCCTAAAATAAATAACATATAAACTGCTAAACTAGTGGATATAACTTTTATTGCTTAACATTTAACATAATGTGGACATTAAACTGATTAACTCGTCTACAATCTCTGCTTCCTCCTCTTTGCGCTTCTCTGAGTAAATGCTCTCATGGCAATTTACTTGGTATGGGCTCCTCTCTACGTTTCACTATGATAGGGTACCTCTTCTGCGTCCTAGTGGTTGGGAAAAACACCAACTTATCTTCTTCTGCAGGAATCCAACTGCCATAAAATTGAAACAACATTAATGATAGAAAACATGAGTCTATTATGGTAAAAATTAATCACATTTACAATACTGTGACAATTGTTGTCCCGAAGGATTTTTGTACATGGTATTTATTTTTTGCCTAATAGATTGTCCTTGATACAACGGTGCCTAACTACTATATGAACCCATCAAGTTTATTTACCATTAAATTGAAAATGAAATGTGTACCAATATTTTAATTTTGTGTTGTACCTATAACGGGTGACAATGCGGTGAAGGAAGACAGAGAGAACCACTCTGGCAAGCTCATAGCCAGGGCATAACCGTGGCCCTCCTCCAAACGGGGTATAAAGATTTCCAGGGCTAGTTGCTTCTGAGTTACTCTGCAATTTCAGTCATAAGTAAGCAATTAATTCACAGATATCTAATAAGGGTGATTGAACTTGAGCATAAATCAATAATAAAGATGAAATGAGAGAGTGAATTACCTGCCATCTCCATGGATTGAAGGTGCGTGCATCTTCGTAATGGTCAGGGTTTAGATGTACAGCACGAAATGAAGCAATGATCCTCCATCCCTTTGGAATAGTGTAACCTATATTATTACAAGGGCATTAATAAAACTCAGTTGTATATTAAATCGTGATCTAATTTTCATATAAGTAGAATTGGTAGCAGTTGATACGATTTCTTCTTCGGCCATTGATTAGTTACCTTTTATGTTGATGTCAGTCATTGTTTTCCTAAATATCCCACCAATTATGTTAGCGATCCTCAAGGTCTCATTCACAACCTATATTACATTAATGAAAAACATTATTATAACATGTTCCCATAGAAAGAATGTTGCCGTAAACCTTAAAAAAGCATGCAAGTACGTTATGTAAAATTTCACAAAACATCAATAGTGCTAGTGTAACTTAATCGAACAATAATAAACTTAGTAGAATTTAAATATTCTTACGCATTGAGTAAATGCCATTGACTTATAATCTGTCCACTCCAGTGGTGCGTCAGAGGAACTCTTCTTGGCTCTGATTTGATCATGCTCTTCCTGCCCAAACAACACAAACAATTCCTCCCATCAAACTCTCTAGTTTGGATTATGAATCCTACTTCATAATAATTGACAACACAATGCAATGATCAGTTAATTACACAAAAATAATGATCGTATTTAGTTGTTTTATGGCGTAACTGTAATTGAAATTGTGCATAACCCAAACTGAAAAACAGGTCCAAGGAATAATGTTAGTGAAGGGCGGGGACTAAGCTATGCTGTGCTAACAGTGGGACCTAAACAGTGATATCATTATCTTTCGCTTTATTTGGACCATTGGATCAGAATTGATCCTCGAAATCAGCATTACGCGATTCTCGTAGCATGGGAGGGACCAGAGACATAACTCTGCGCAGCGCTGCAGCAGAACAGAACCAGTTTTAAACATACAAAGTACACATGAAATGACGCATAAGCCCCTGAAGTCCGATCCGATCCGGTCAAAACGTCAAAGTGAGATGAGATTATTTTTTGTCACTTTTCTTTTTAATATTCTTTTGGCTATTTTTCTCTGAATTTGGTGATGACAAATTGACAATTGGCAACAAAACTACAAAGCGTGCAATTCGGATCTAATTATTTTGTCCGTTGGTTCCACGAATTTGACTAGAGGCAGAACCACTTTTAACTTTGACCATGTCACCATATATCTTCCATAAGGTGGTTTCTAAATGACTCTAATCGATTAAAATGTTATGCCACGGTATCAATACAAGACTTCCGACAATTTAAAGACAAACTCCCTTATTCATATTAATTTTGAGTAATGTGTAAGTTTATGAATGAATTTTTCTGTAATCGTATTGTTTTATGAAGCTCCACTTCGTCCTCATTGATGATTGTTCTACTTCTACCTGTCCAAGCCAATACATGAGTTTTATTAACTGCTTTGGAAAGTTTAGGGGGACATGCTTTAATCGCAAGTTGCAATCTCAATTGAAAACTATTAGACATGCACAAAACAACAAAACCAATATTCATCAAACCTTTTGCTTTCTTTGTCTTGCGTCTCTCACCGTTAAAATGAAACCCGTGTCTAAAACTTTATTTTATTATAAATAGTAATTTAGATTTTCTATTTATATATTAAGATATTAATTTCTTTCTTTGTTATTTTAACTATGCATTTTTATAAATGTGACGGCAGACACAAAAATATAGGTCAATCTAGAGTGGGGGAAGTGGAGAGCATAAAGATAACGAAAATGAGGTTTGGAAGGAGACCACACCACATGAACGATGGTCATGGACATGGACATGCACACGGTGGTGGGGTAATTCTAAGGAAGGAGCTACATCTACTAAATGGTCCACTACCTTAGCTACACATACATGTTCCTATTCATTTGCTATTACATATATATTAAGAAATATCGCAAAAAAAAAAAAAAGAAGTTATATGTATGGGAAAGAGATGTAACGTACCTTGAGGTGTGCCAATGCTAGAGGATTCTCGGTGAGGAACTTGACGGCAAAAGTCATGGTGGTAGAGGTGGTTTCGTAGCCGGCCACGAGCAACGCCAACATGAAATCCACTATTTCCTCGTCGGAAAAGTGGTAGCCGGAGGCCAACAATGCCCCTAGCATGTCATTCTTTTTCTCCCCAACCATGCTTTCTTTTCTTCTTTGCCTCACTATCAACGTTAATGCCTCTGCCACCTTCGTTCTAGCCTACATATAGAATTAAATCTTTCAATAATTCAATTTCTCTCAAAATATATTCATCATTTTTCAATTTATTAGTATTTTATTTAACTACTTAAATGACTTTTAATCTTTTTAATTAATAAAGATTTAAAAATTCGTTTTATCTTTACAACCTACATAATTATTTTTTTCAAAGTATATATGTATTACTTTAAAAGTAAAGGTAAATAATTAAGTAGGTCGTGAATTATTTGAAAACCAACCACTTAACCTAGTGGTTGGGTGAGAAGGGTTGAGATAATTAGAAGCATGAGAACCTAGGTTCAATCCTCAATACGATCATTTTTATAATTTTTCCTATTTTTAAAAAAAAATTATTTCAAAACTTTTCAAAATGGTCTTTAAACTAAAAAGTAAATCCTATAATTAGTTTTTGATTGCATAAAATACCCAAAAAGAATATGTTTTTCAAGAACTACCTTAAGGATTCAATTAAACAAAAAGAAATTAAAGAGCATGCACCTTGATGGCTCTACGGTAGGTAGAGGAGAATAGGGGGAAGGGGAGTGTGAAAAATCCTTCGATCACAAGAACGTACTCTTTCCTTAGACTCTCAGTCCATTCATTTGGATCAAAGCTTATGAGCTGCTTCAGTGTCAACTCAAAAGTTATCTGCGAGTAACCCAACAAAGCAAAATTATAATAAAAGATAAAGTAATCCTCTTTTAAATATGAAGTTAAAAGATACATATTTAATAGGAAATAAATATTAATTTAGCATTTAAAAAAAACGTTTTTAATTATCCACATATATGTGCCGATAGAGAAAAGAATAAAATATATATATTTGACAACATGTCACATGAAGAACAAAATGATACATGTGCATGTTAGCCTATAGTATATATAGGGAATGATTATTATTCTTTTGCAGCGATAAACCCATCTTAGTTAAGGTGGGGCCTGGTCCGCACGGAACTGGACACATTATAGTAAAGCATGGAATCTGAGTCACGAACTGGAGTTGCATTTCCATCACGTAAATGAGAGTCACCTGGTAAACACATCCATCCAGGAAGTATTAATAAATCAAAGGTTAGAGCACTAATGAAGGGAAAATTAATGGAGGAAAATACAAGTTAGAAAAGCATAGACATAGAGAGAGAGAGAGAGAGAGAGGGAAGTGAAAAAAGATGAGAATAAGGTAACCTTTTTGGCTTCTTCCAAGAGGAGAACCCGGTGGGACCAGGAATCGAAGTTGAGGCGAATGAGGCGGTCGATGTCGAGCAACAAATGGTCCTTGATGATGGCGGAGTTGGCGAAGCTCATGGTGAGGGAATGCATTCGCTTGTGGAGGGACCCTTTCATGAGGACCAGGGAGTGTTTGCCGAGGAGGTTGCATATGGAGGCTGGGTAGCTGCACTCGAACAGTTTCCCTTCGTTCATCAGAACGAAACGGTTCACTTCGGGGTCGGTGGAGAACACCGTGGGCTCGCCCAGCACGTGGGTTGTGAAGATTGGGCCGTACCGCTTCACGCGCTCGTCGATGAAGGGCTCCGGGTTCTCGCTCTTGTAGGCCGACACCAGCTGCAGGGTCTCGCCCACGAAGGGCAGGCCCAGGCTCCCCGGCGGAACGCGGAGGCGCCGTTGCCGGGAGCGCCGGTGGAGGAGGAGGAGGAGGACGGCGCCGATGATGAGGAGGAGCAAGAGTGGCAGCATGGAGGCCATGTATGTATATAGTATATACGAATGTTTATGTTATGTCATGTGTGTGTAGTGAAGTTTGAAGTGAGTATTATATAGAGAGAGAGTGTGATGGATGCATTAATGGAGGGGGAAGAGGGAACACACGCGGGGGTATCTATCATAATTCATAATTCATAATTCATAATTCATAATTCATAATACTCCTACTGGGGAAGAGAAATAATAAATGCCCATATTTATTTATTTTCGTATCTCGCCAAATACTATCAGGATAACACTTTTGCCTGGCCCACTTTCCGATATTTACTTTTAACCAAAGTTTTTATATATATATACGCAACACATCTCTCCCAAAAAACCACAACATTTACTACTCCATCCGTTTTTTTTATATAGTCATTTTTGTCAATTTTTTTTTTATATTATCGCTTTTCTAAAACTAATAACTTATTAATTTTATTTTTTATTTTTATCCTTAATAATTAATGCATGTTTACTAATCAATATGTCTATTATTTTTTAATGTATTTATTTCTTATCTAACTCAAAAGGTATAACAGGAAAATATATAATAAATACTTTAAAAATTAAAATATCAATAATTATCTTAATTCTTGTACATATCATCTAAAAAAAAATGAAAGGAGTATTACAATATAATAATAAAAAAATTTTAAAAAAGGGAAACTACCATAGAGCATTATACTCGAGTAGAAGTCCTATTATTTTTTTTATAGATAACTAACCTTATAACAAACCATCATAAATATTAGGCTCGTTAGATCTTACACATATCTTCACTACACTTGCTTGTTGGGCTTATCTCAATAAACATATGAACACATGGTGATTAATTCCCAAAACTCAAATTGAATCACTTAATAAAATTGGGCACTCAAACCATATTTTAACATGAAAAAAAGTACACCAAACCAAATATAGAAAAAAAATTAACAGTAATTTCCTCATAGAGTCCCTGACTAAATTTGTTTGGAAAACAAAAAGAGGGGAACGAAAATTGCAAAACGGAATAGATTAGTGTGCATTCAACTTTGGAGATTTCTGGAATATTTTAATGTTTTTTATAAACATTAACCCAAGTTGGCAAGATAAAGATAGTGACACAAAAATCTGTTAATCAGAGAAGATTGTGCGTTATTTTTTACTTAAAAACAACAATTTAATAACCCACTACTTTATGTTCCGACAAGTTAGATCTATGATCCATATTATTATTAATGGGAGTCAAAATTTATGCGCATTATCTTGGAGACTATGATACAAGCCACACACATGACACATGTGCTCCCAAACTTGAGAGAGAGAGGATTCTTGACGAGCAAATATAGAAAGTCCTCAAGACGCGCATAGCACTCGTTTAATTTGGATCCTTTTCTGCAATATTCTCTCTCCAGTCTCTTTCTTGCAACATTAATAATTATTAAATATATTTAATGGTTCAAATTTAATTATTTAAAAAATTATATTAATTATAAGATTAAATTTAAGTCATTAGATATATCTAATGGCTATTAATATTGCAGAAAAGAAGTTAAAGAGAGAATATTACATGAGAGGATTCAAATTAAGCATATTTATGATGCTATACATAAACCTCTAGCATAGCATACTACCTAAACAGGGTGACAGAAGGAAAAGTATGCAGCCATACTTCTGTCTCTCCATTCTTTCAAGTGATGTGCATGTGTCTTGTTTTGCCCCACAGTATAAAATAATTTATAAAAAAATGGTAAAAAGTTTAACTATGGAAGATCTGACATATACATACTAGAGTAGAGTATGTGACCTATAGTGGATATATATGTATAAGGGTTAATGGTGTCAATTATCGCTTTTTTTCCTATGTTTTTAATGTTTTGCCTTTTGACCTTGTATTTTTTAAATACTTCAATTTTATGACTAAAATGACTGTTAGAAAAAATGACTGCTAGAAAAATCATCAAGTGAATACTTATGTAACAAAAATAGATTAATTTGTCAAACAGGATCTTCAAGTTTGAATATGTAAGTGTATCACCTCATATATACTTTGATATGTTCTTGATATGCTCCCGGATCTATATGGTTTTGCTAAGCTGGAAAAATCGAAGACAAACATTTTTAGTTTGAGTAAGTAAACTTGGCTATCATTTTTATTTTTTCTTACTCGGTCGATGGTATATATACATGGCACCATATAAATTACATGGATAATTTAGGTTGTTTATGTAATAGTGTTGATTTTATGATGTTTTAAGTTAATCGTATGAGTTTTGTTGTCCAGTCATTAGTTGTTGTTAATAGTGTTATTTAAGAACTTTAAAGTCTGGAGACTTTGAGAGTTAATTTAGTCTCTATAGATAATTGGACTAGAGATAAATTGGGTCACCTCAAGAAAAGTATATAAGATTTTTTTTAAAATTAAAATCTCATGAGTTTAAGTTTTAAGAATTCTAGAGAAAAGTTAGTTAAGGACTCTCTAGAACTCAAAATCTTTTTCTTCTTTTTCTGAGAAATCTTTCCCTTCTACTTTTTTTGAGAAATATTTTCCTTTTCCTTCTTTGTAGCTAATGAAGTTTAGTTGAGTAGGAGATTCGCAATTGTGTAGTTGAGAATGCAAGGTCGAAGACGTATAGAGTTGGTTTTTCTCTTCCCCTCTTGTTGATTCAGTTCTCCAAGAGGTAAGGGAAGCTTGTGCTAATTGTGTCGAATGCATGTTGATTAATGTTACTTATAATTACTAGATTCATGATGTTGGTGTTGAATTTATTAGGATGATGATTTATGGAGTTGGGATTTCTCTTGAAATGATTATATGTTGAATATGGTGATTCTTGCTTTAGAGTGGTCGCATGCTATAAATGAAATTGTTTTGAGTTGTTTTGTGCATTGCATGTTTGAAATTGGTTGAGTTTCATATGGATTGGCCTGAACTCAAGTTATACATAAATGCATAACTAACATCGTGTCAAGCACGCCTTTAGGGTGTTGGGCATGATTTCAACTAGTGGTATTGTTTCACCCACTTTGGGAACAAGATTGGTGGTACCGAGTATGAGGAGATCTCAGATTGAAATCACGTCGAACGTTATTTGAATGGTGTCGAGCATAAGGAGAGACGATCATCTTGAGTTGAAATCACATTGGACGCCAATGGAATGGTGTCGGACATGAATTGTGTGGAAATCTCTACACGTTGGGACTGAGCGTGGGTAGTTTAACGTCAAGAATGGGTGAGATAAGGAGCTCTCTGCCCCAATAGTGTTAGACATCTTCTAAGTGAAATTAAACACTAGTTGCATGATGAAAATTTTTTGTTTTAAGTTGTTTTATAGTTGAATGATGAATAAGTCATATGGATGATGATGTATGATGACGAATCTATGTGTTGTAAGTTGATATATTATATGATAATATTTAAATTGTTAAGTTGTAGGTTGTTAAAATGATGAGATTGTGTAGTTGTATGATTCTATAGTTGTTCATGTGGTTAAAGTTGTTAGACATGTGGTAAAGATACATACATATCTTTGATAAGATACGTGAAAACTAAATGAGAGTAAGAGATGTTTTATAAATTATAATATCTCAGTATGTGGATATACATTGCGATGCTATTCAAGGACCCAATTGAAATCCTCTAGTGAGTAAGTTAGATTTTGAATGGGTATTTGCTTTAAGATGTCTTCTCTAAATTTTATGTGATATTTGTATATGGACAAGATTGAGAAATCAAATTAGGTTATTAAATAGGATCTTCATGAGACCTAAAGTTGTTTATACTTGACCTAACTACAATAAGTCAAACTTTGTGGTTTGATAGGGTCTAACTACTTAAATTGCTTATCTTTGTTGTAGGAGATTTTTTTAGTTAATATGTGATGATACATTACTTGTATATTGTTGTATGATGACCATGTTGTTAAGATGAAGTTGTTTAAGTCGTTTTATGTTGTAAGATGTATGAATAGTATCAGTAACAAGTTGAAGGTGCATGTTTAGATTGATGTTGTTGTTTATGTTGTTCATGTTGACATTAATGTTGTGATTGCATGTTATTTTTATTTCACAAGTTTACCGTGTATTTTTCTTATGGTAGAAACTACTATGATCATACTTTGATATGAAAATAGATCAAGATTAACAAAACTTTACTATGATGATTGTTGGCGTGTCATGTAGGAAATGACTCCTTTTGTGATATCTTTTTGTGGTGACTAAGACATTGTATAATCACTTAATGGACAAGTAAGGTTATATATATACCTTGCTATATTTTGTGTATATTATATATGAATACATGACATGTTTTTATCTTTCCTCTTTGTACATATAACAATATACTTTTCTTTCCGTAATAATAACCATACCATAATAAGTATAGTAATTTATTATGTTGTTACAGTTTAAAATACAATAACGTATGAATGTTTATTTAAATGTTTTATACACAAATCAAGAATTTAATACGTTTTCACACACACACTGTGTGATATTAAAAGGTTAAATTTATATATAAATCACGTTTGGTGTCGTCTATGATTTGATTAAAAAATATTAAATCTATTACAATTTCATATATATAATTTACATTATTTAAAAAAAATGAAGAAAATTTATTTTTAAACTCTACTTAAATTGAAAATATAAAGTAAAGAACACGATAAAAAAAAAAGTAATTTCTAACGTAGAGAAAGTATAAAACTTGAGATCCAATGAGCGTATATTATGGTTAAATAAAGAAAAATGTTTTCCTGCTATTCTCTATTGTTCCGTACTCATGTGATTACATAATCAATGTAAAAAAGCCTAATGTGTAATAGTCTTTTTTGTACCGGTGCATTTTAAGAAAATGAATTTTAAATTTAATTTAATCATACGAAATTAATTTATTAGACAAAAATTATAAAATTTACTTTATTTATGTTGCTAATAGATTTGGGATCACCTACGTCATACACAAAACAGTGATTTTCTATTTTTGTTAATTTTATAATTTTATATATTCTTTCTATTTTTAAATAAAGATATTTGAACTCTTTATTTTTTTAAAAAAAATCTTAGCTCTATCATCAATTTACTATTTGTTAATCAATTTACTGTTTTTTTAATTATTAAATTTTGATATTTTTAATAATTTGTATTATTTAAGTAA